AATACAAAATGCACCTCAAATAGATGTATGACACTACAGTAAAAAGATACATTTTTAGAATGTAGTTTAGGCTGAGAGAGTAGCTCAACTTAGCATACATGAAGCCCTAGGTTCAGTTCCCAGCAACCTCACCCCAATCCTGTTCACTGGTTTTTGTACCATCACGTTTGTTTAGCCATGCTCAGGATGGAACCCTTGAACATTCTAGTCAAGCAGTCTACCAGTGAGCTCCAACTGCAGCCCTTGCACCAGCCCTTTCTTCTTTTTCAGCTCAACTATGGATCCCACTTCAGTGGAACCATTTCTTTATATATATTTTTAATTGATTTTTTTGTGTATTTCATACAGAACATCCCAAACAATCTTATTCATCTTTATACCCACCTCCCAAATGGCACCCTCCCATAGCCTCTACCATTGAACTACATCCTATCCCTGAAGGCAGGATAATTTTTACTTCTGATTGCACTGAGGAGCAAACTTGACCTACCGAATAGTCTCTGGACCACCCAGAAAATACTTTAAGGATGCGACTTCATCATGAATGTGTATGTGTACAACTTGAGACACATCTCAGGACACCCTTCAGCCACTTTTATTTCCTATGTAACTAGAGCAACCGGTCAAAGCAACTGTCAAAGCATTTCCAAAGAACACAAAATCCCCCTCCCCATGCGTGACACGCCCCTTTGTCTGTGCAGGGGCATGAGGAGTTGGTGATCTGACAAAAAGACAGATGCCTGTATCAGACAGTATTAAACTACAATATTGTTATATTATTAAAAGTCAGTGGCTGAGACATTCTGAGTAACAAGCCTTCCTACCTAATTATGCAACCGTTCATTTTCAATTTGGGCAATTATAACAATGCAGACCTCTCATTCCAAATTAGCAGGTACATGCCATTACTTCAAGTTGTTTCATCATCCTACTTGAAAACAAAATAACCATTAATGTATTATGGCTCTACCTGAAAGATGAAGACAGCTTGGAGACAGTCATGTGAAACCTTCAACATTATGTGTCAGAAGGGCACAAGGATATGAGCATCTTGGACTGAGTCAAGGGACCTAGTCTTCTCAGCAGCTTTCCCCTTACTAGGTAACCTTAGGACTCAGCTTCTAAGGAGTCTCTGGGCCTACTTATATGAAACAATTTAGTTGCCTCATCTTCAAACTTTAACTCCAAACTCTAATGAATGGATAACCTGGATACACTACTGATTTTCTATCCATCACTGCCCCTCTACTACAAAGGCTGTGACTTGGATGAGGGACACTAATTCATTTAAGGCCCTGAGGGAGGAGTGAGGAGTTGCCCAGCATGTAAGAGAACTCAAACCACCTGTGGTGTCCTGATCTGAGAACCTGACTGAGAAACAGATGCCTTGCAGAGTATTCCAGGCCTTGGAGAAACTTGACAGGGGGAGGAAGCCACTTTGCCTAAGTGAAGCAGAGCCTGGGACCCGGAATTTCAATTCCTAACTTCTCCCAATGCTGTCTCTCCACACTATTTCCCTGGTCCAGCTCTTGCTCTGCAATCTCCTTACATGGAATTAACTACAAATAAGGCTGATGTTAGGTTGTTTACCAAAACCTTTTTCATTAGTGTATTTTCAACTAACAGTCAAGAAGCAGCTCTTACAGCTCATAAACAAAAGTAAATAAATAATAACAAAGATACTTTCCCCTAAAGCCCAGGCTAAAGAGAGAATCCAGAAAATAGTAAATACAGCTATGGTGTATGTGGCCCACACTGTTTACAGCCCTGAAAAATGGCAGTGAACATTTTATAGGCAATTTCATTTAATCAAACTAACATGGTGTTGGGGCTCTCACTATTTTTAAATTACAGTTGGGAAAAGCCAGGTTGACAGAGATAAATTTGTCCAATTGCTGTGCAGAATCACGTCTGTCTAGCAAAGCCTTTGCTCATCACTTCCATACAACCTGCCTCTTGTGGGCACCATTACCTGCATGAGCTCCTAAGGACCTGAAATGAGACTAAGCAACAAACTGGATTCAATTATTTTTTCAGTACCAGGAACTGAAGACAGGGCTGTGTGCACACTAGGCCAGAACTCTTATCAATGAGCTATAGCCATAGGCCTCTTTTCAATCTAAAAATTTTGAGAAAGGGTCATACGTTGCCATCATTGGCTCTGAACTTACTACATAGCCTAGGCAGGCCTTCACCTTAATGATTGTTTTGCCTTGGCCTTTAGAGCAGCTGGGATTACAGGCCTGCACCACCAGGCCCAGCTTGACTTGTTTAGTTAATGTCAATAGTTATGCATAGGGAGATCCTACAGTACTAGTCAGTACAACGCCACTGTACGCATGTAAGTATGATCAAAGCCTTAAGACTTACTATCAAAAATAATTTTAATTGCAGAAGATTGGACTGAAGCCGAGTAAGAATGAAGGGGGCAATTCAGTAGATGTGCAATAGAGTGGCTCCTAACTTTGGTTTGAATCCTAACCCTGTCCAAAATTGTCACGTGATTTGGGCTACTGTTGACCCTCTAAGTCTTAGTTCCTGAGCTACAAAAAGGAGAGACTTTACCATTACCCTAGGGCTGTGACAATTAAATGAGATAAAGCATTAAAGCCCTTATTGTGATTGTTTAAATGTACTAAGTACTAAACCAAAGTAATAATAACCACTATATTGTTACTGTTCCAGCCTTCTCAATGTCAAAATGATGTGAGCTTTAATTTTCAAAACAGGGGGCACAATTTGGACTAGCGAAATGGTCAGTAGATAAAGTGACTACCACCAAACCTGATGACCTGATTTGATCCCTAGGACTCACATGGTGGATGGAGAGAACCAGTTCTCACAAGTTGCCCTCTAACCTCCACATGTTCACCATGACACACGTGCCTCCCCCCTTGAACATGAAAAATAACATAAAATAGATTTTAAAAATTTAAAGGCACAATTTAACTTCTTAACAACCCCCACCACATTAAATTCACCTTTTGTGTTTTTAAATAATTCATTTGGAGACTAATTCGAATTTACGGCAGACTTGTGAGTATTCTATAAAGGACTATAGTACACTCTAACCAGAATCACCAGTTTTTAACATCTTGCCACACTTGGGCTCTTTTTCTGTCTATATACTGCATTTTTTAGAACTATTTACTCCTTATCACTAAGCATGTTTCCTAAGAAAAAGGATAGTCTCATATACAACAGCAGTACAATTATCAAACACAAAAGTACAGCAGTACTTGATACTTTAATCAATAGGCTCATCTACTCTTCTCATAACGCCCTTTATGGCAACTGACCCACCTCTTAATAAGCTCACATGCCTTTTTAGTCATTCAATCTAGAATGGCTCTATAGCCTTTCTTAGCCTTTCATAGCTCACTTTTTGTTTGGTTTGGGGTTTTTGAAACAAGGTCTCCCTGTAGCCTCAGCTGGCTTAGAACTCACTGTGTAGACCAGGCTGGTCTTGATCTCACAAAGATCCACCTGCCTCTGCCTCCTGAGTGCCGAGATTAAAGGTACGCACTACCAAACCCAGCTATGGCTCACTTTTTCTAGAGCACAGGCCTGTTCTTCTGTAGAATGTCATTCCATTTGATTTTGGCCAATGTTTCCTCATGATTAGATTCAGGTCGCACACATTTCTGGTTGGAATGCAATGTAGGTAATGCTGCATTTTTATTTACAGACACACAGCATCCATCTGCCCCATACTGGAGATAGTTGCTATTTTCTTCCATAATTAATAAGTAACTCAAGGAAAACAGAGTTTCTAAATATACTGTCCCTCAAGCTCCATCCTCCTCTTCCAATAATTAGATCTAGCATCTATTGAAGAGTCTTGCCTGATCGACTTTCACTGTGATGGTTGAAAAATGCTATTCTAATGCCATCATTTCTTCCATATGTATTTATTAATTAGCATTTTACTACAAATAGAATCTCCCCGAACTCCTCTATTTTACATGTTTATTTAATCTACCAGTTAAATACATGAGCTATGGATTCTTACTTTATTCAACAGGTACCTTCCAGGTTTTAAAACTATTCCTCAAGTGACAAGAAACTCCAGATCTGGATTAAGGTCCCTAGAGAGGCAGAATTGATTCATTAGGCAAAAGCAAAACTAATATTGAGGACAATGCTCATCTTAAGACACAGGCAGTCTAAGGCTCTGCAGTGAGGACTCTCGCCTGAAGCTGTTGCAATAGACTGTGAGTTATCATCACCAAGTTGCAAAGCTGCTCATCATCAGACATGATATCATACCCCAAAAATTCCATCCAAACAACCCATCTATTTCTCCACAACTAGCAAATTTGAATGTTCTGGCAAACTCCAAAGGACATGATTTACAAATAGTAGGTAATATTTGGATCATTTCACAAGAGCTAGGCTCCAGCTTTTTTTTTTTTTTTTAATAGAATACAAATGATTTCATGTTTGGAGCTGACTGTGTCACTTTCTTAACAAACAGTTTCTCCTATCAGAAATTAGACCTGTGTTATATACAAACAGGAACGGGCTTGAGCATATTTATTTTGTGGTCAGAGACCACACACTCAGTGGCTATTTTCAGTATTGACAGTGATTTTGATGCCACAAGGCAGAAGGGAACACCAATGTGCAGGCCACACAGACTATGACAGTGGGCCCTGTACCACTGGGCAAACTAGACACGGCTCTGCATCCACAGAACACATGTGGGTGGCATCTGCTTTATGTGAATGCTTTCCAATGTTATCTCAAAATCTCCCGGTGTGCAAATCAAAATGAAACATCCTTTGGTATCATTTCAGTGAAAAGAACTCTTTTTTAAAAAGCATTTGCAAATTGGGCATGGTGTGCACACCTGTAATCCCAGCACTCAAGAGGCTACAACTGAAGCACTCTAGCTACATAGCAAGATCTTGCCTCACAAAGCCAAAAAATCTTGCAAAGTTTGAGGGTCATTATACCCTTGCACTAGGATCAGTTTGAGGGAGGGTTTATATACTTACCAAGAAAAGTCTAGAGACTCCAGTGGCTAGTCTCTCTGTCTTCAGATGCCACATCAGGGGCTGTGGGGAGTTGAGCAGGAACACAACAGGCTTATGGTGAATGTGAACTGAGGAGATGGGGTTCAGATGTAGAGTAACCTGGGAGACAATAGAAACCAAGGAGAGAGCTTAGCATCGATCACCAAAAATACCTTCCAGACACTTTTTCACAACTCACCATTAAAAGCAAGCTGTAAGTGAGGTTGGAGAGATGGCTCAGCAATTAAGAGCACTAACTGCTCTTGCTAAGGACCTGGGTTTGATTCCTAACACCCATATGGGGCAGCTAACAACCATCCATAACTCCAGTTTCAGGGGATCTAGCACCCTCTTCTGGTCCCCATGGGCATTGCATGGCACAGCTGCACTTATATACAAGCAGGCAATATACTCATACACACACACACACACACACACACACACACACACACAAATAAATAAAATACTTTTTTTAAAAAAAAGAAAAAGCGATAAGCTAGTTCCAAATCTATGAATGTGATATATGAGGTTGACCTACATGATGCTGCCAATATTGGGCCACTGTTTTACTACCTATTGGCTATTTCATAATGTGCAGCCCCAGTAATTTCAATGAAAACATGGCTTGACTATTAAGAATAGAAGAAAAGTAAACAGAGCACTTTCTTTTACTCAAAACCAGGAGTGTAGGAATAAAAATTACCTGCCTTCAGGGCTGCCTTATCCTTCAAATCAAATGACTAAGCTGAAATTAGAGAACAGAATCTCTTAGGGGTGGATTTTAGGGGTGGATTTTTCCCTCTGGACCTGCAGAGAAAAGACTTTCTTCCCTCGCAGGTAAGTTCCAGCCTCTACAAAGCAAGTGAGGTCTGCCAAAGAAAAGTGCTGAAAGCGAGGAGAACTGGGCTGCCAAGGGGAGCTGCCAGTCCTCCCATGCCAGTGACAAGCACAAAGGGGTTTTCCAAAGAAACGAAATCCAAAGATCTCACAGAACAAACAATGACTATAAGGGCCTCAGTCAAAAAGAAAACAAAGCGCCTGCCTAGGAAAATGAGGGTCATTTCTGACAAGAGGGCTGTTGTAGGTTACCATCATTAGCATCATCAAAGGTGCCCATGAGCCACACTGGACAAGGTAGACTCTACCAAGGCACAGGAGCCAAGGTCAGTCTACACAAAGACTGGAAAGCAAAGGATCTGTGAAGAAATACTGACTAGATGCTTTCATATAATTTGTCTCACACTGGTTTTCTCTTTAAACGTGTGGGGTGAGAACCAAAAATCACATACTTAACCAGACAGGGTGAACTTACCAAAGATCACCATAGCAACAAGGGTGAGGAAGGATGAAAAAGGATGTTGGTTGGAAAGATGCAGACTGACGGCTACACGGGGCATGATGGTTTCCTTAGCCATCACCCTTCTGAGAATTAAATAAATGCTCTAGGCTTGTGATCTGACTGTACAGTCCGACACACTGTACTAAAAGCTGATTGTTTTTTGGATTTTAAGAATATTTTATTTATTATTTTCATTTTATGTGTATGAGTGTATTGCCTGCATATGCGTTAAGTGCACTGGTGTCATGCAACGCCCTGGCAGGTCAGAAGAAGGCATCAGATCCCCCGGAACAGGAGTTACAGATGGTTGTTAGCCACCATGTGGGTGCTGGGACTTGAACCTTGGTCATCTTCAAGAGCAGTCAGTGCTCTTAACCGCCGAACCATCTCTGCAATCCCCCAAAAGCTGTTTTATATCTTCCCGCATGACTGCTTGCCTAATTTGATCCCAAAGCATCTCTATATTCTTTTCTAAGGGCAATCTATAACCAGTATCATTTATTGTTGTACCCAACTCAATGATAAAGCACTAAGCTTTATCTTTCAAACCGATGCTTTAGTTTATGGAAAGCACTCTCTAAATGCCAGTAAAATGTTTTTAATTCTCCACTTCTCAATACCACAAGGCACATTATTCTATGGATAAACTGAACATTAGAATATAATATTGTTTGTTAACTATTGAGTATGTATGTCTTAATTTCCAAGGTAGAATGTAGAAAAAAGATACTGTTCTTAGCATATTGTAGACACCATAATTTTTTTTTATTTATTATCTTATTTTGTGTGTATGTGCATATTGCCTGCATGTTTGTAAGTGCACCCATGTTGTGCAATGCCCGCAGAGGACAGAAGAGGCCATCAGATCCCCTGGAACCAGAGTTACAGACAGTTGTTAGCTGCCATGTGGGTGCTGGGATTTGAACCCAGGTATTCTATAAGAACAGCCAGTGTTCTTAACCGCTGAGCCATCTCTGCAGCCCTGACACCATAAACTTTTATTTGTTTCAGCCAATTTGTAAATGTATATAATTTACCTAATAGATTTAAAAGAGTCTGAAGAATTAATAAGTTCAAAGGGAGTTAGCTAGCAAATTTGTAGCAAATACTCAAACTGTCACAAGCTAGCTCTGCACAGAGGATCATTTTTGGACTTGGCATAAGCATAGTACCAAATCAAAGCACTAAATGAACTGTGATGTCAACTACAGCTACAGCAAAATAATGTGTCCTTTGGTTGTTCAGACGCATAGCACGCTTTGGAGACACTGTCTGCATCTAGAAATAAACAGATTGATAACCACTGGAAAGAAGAACTGCAGTAGAAACAGCAAAGGCAAACTACAAACTGCAGCAGCACTCCCTGAACACAGACGCATGCTACAGAGAGTGCACTCTAAGAAATGAGGCCCAGCAACAGGACTTAGTCCAGAATATGTGAAAGCCATAAAGCTACATACACCAATACTCCCTAACAGCAGGTAGCTCACCGAACACTACAAGGGCTCAAAGAATAGTAACTAGCTATCACAGAGGAGCATCAACTTTTCCTGCTTTGCAGTTCTAAAACATACACTTTTTCTTAAAGTTCCTAAATATCCCAAAAGTTTTGCTACAAATGTCCAAAGCCAATAAATACATATCTCAAATGAACAAGAATTTTTTAAGCTTATGAAAGGAGAAGATGTAAGAAGCAGATATTCGTGCTTGGGTCCAAATTTTTCCAGATGGTCCGAGTGTCAAGGCCTGGCTCATACAATCAAGGAAAGATCTCCAGGAGGCTCAGCTCTGTGCTTTCCTGGAAATGGCTCCTGCTTCAACATGTGGCGGTGTCTGGCCAAGATGAAGCTCTGGCACACAGGTTCCGGGCAAAGCCCCAAAGTCATTTGGCAAAGAAGAATTCACACTATGATTGGGAAATTAAAAGAAAAATACCCAATGCCTTAAAAAAAAATCATTTGGCAGGCACAGAGTCCTGCAAGCTCGGGCTCACCTAACCCCTCAGAATCCTGCAAGCTCGGGCTCACCTAACCCCTCAGAATCCTGCAAGCTCGGGCTCACCTAACCCCTCAGAATCCTGCAAGCTCGGGCTCACCTAACCCCTCAGCAGCCTCCTCTTCCACACCTTCTCCACCTGAGCAAACCGTGCTGAAGGGAAGATAGAGCCAACCAAAAACAACCAGGAAAAAGAAGAATGTATAAAAGCTCCTAGGAATTCTAGAACATAGTCAGAATACCTCAAAGAATCCTTGGCGAAGATGCCTGATTTCTTCTAGGCTTTAAAAAAGAAAAGGACAGAAAACAAAAGCCTTTGGGACCAGTTATAGCGTTATAGCTCAGAAATGTCGATTAAAAACTAGATATGTTCTTCTCTTTCAGACTCTTTTTTTCTTTTACTTCACTGGTTCCTCTCCATTATCCTGGTTCCTCTAGTTATGTCTGGATACATACTCACTTATAAGGATTTGATGCTAGGATCCACATATGAGGGAGAACGTATATCTTTTTTTTTTTTCTGAGTCTGTGTTACTTCACTTAGTATAACAGTTTCTAATTCCATCCATTTACCTGTAAATATCATGATTTCATTTTTCTTTACTGGTGAGTAAAACTCCATCGTATAAATGAACCACATTTTCATTACCCACTCGTCAGTTGAGGGTCACTGAGGTTGCTTCCATCTCTTAGCTATTGTGAACAGAGCAGCAACAAACATGGATGTACAAGTGTCTCTGCAATAGGATGAGTTCTTCTGGTATATGCCAAGGAGTGGTATAACTAGGTCAAATGGTAGGTTCATTTGTTAGTTTTTTAAGAGTTCTCCATACTGCTTTCCATAGGGGTTGAACAAGTTTGCAGTCCCACCAGCAGTGGATGAGCTTTCTTCAAAGCATAAAAATTTGCTCCTTAATAATTAGTAGATGTGAAAAACATTACCACTGAAATCTACCTGATGACTTTATATCCATGCTCAGATGCCAAGGAGCTCAG